CCCTTCAGTGGCTCCCCACTGCCTCTGTTTGGTGAAAACATTATGCCTTTGGCTCTGTATCCCCTCTGATGGCATGCCCCAAAGCACCCCATCTGGCATCTTTGACATGATTTTACTACTCCTAAAGCAAAGCAAGGCAAGGAACCATAGTTTCATTTTCTTATCTTTCTAATGGTGTGGCTCAACAATAAAACTAAACACTAAATTAAACTGCTCACAGACCCTCAGTGAATTAGGTAACTAACAGAAACACAGTCCAGGCATCTGTATGAATCTTCTGTTGAACTCAGAGATTGATTTCTTTGCCTCATTTGGAATCTATAAAACTGGATTTCTTAGCCTAATTATCGTGAGGGGAGAGGATATCTTTGCACCTTTAACTTTTATCAAGTAATTCAGAAGTTCATGTGGTGCACATTAATGAAGTAGTATCAATGAGAGTAATGAATACGAGGGCTGAGAGGCACTCTAATATGTGCTACTGGATTAAGGTTTAATGTGGCATTTCACACCTAATGTTTAGGAAAGGGTTTTAAAGCTTAGTATCCACACCTCACATTTGTATAAATGAATCCCTAGAGTTTGAAATTTGTTTATGATAGAGCAGATGTGGGAAAATGGACTCTGTAGGCTCCATGAAGTGTTTTGCAGTGAAGATTTATAGAAATGTTATAAAAAGGCACCACAGGGACCTTGTACTTCTGGCTGATGGCATCACCACTACTAGGGCAGTATTTACTGTTTTTCTTATATGCCCGTTAACAAAAAGTGGTCAAATAAAGAAGATTAAAGCAAATCTGCCTTTTCCTTTCAAAGGGCTGATACTTCTTTGTGCAGTATTTCTTTATCCAGCCTCTTTGACGCTATGCATGATGCTGCAAGATGGCAGAATGTTGTGCCTTTATCGTCACAAAAGCCATCAGTAAGTGGCGTAATTCTAGGAAACTCTGAGGCCACCCTTTAACTTTAAGAATAGAGTGGCAGAGAACCAAATGGGAACCTTTGTTCCTTAGTGGTTGTTTGATTCCATGTCAACCTGTGTTGGCTTTGTCATTTTCAAAATCATGCATAGGTTTTAAGTTGCATAAAAATATTGTTAAAACTCCTGCTAGAAGTAAATTGCAGTTTATCTTGGGGAGATGCATTAAATACTTAAAAGATTACTGAAGTCTGGGAGTTTTGAAGAATTAACCATCTCCTCGAATGTAGAAATGTGGAAAAGAATTTTGGAACTTCTGGACCCTGATGAAAAGTAAATAACTTATACATACATGGAACTTGTAATTTACTGGTGACAGACCATTCAATCCGCAGTAATAATTTATGTTTTCAGCTCTAGCCCTTGAATAGTACAAATTAGGCTCTTTTTTCTTTCAATAATGTTTTCGTAAAGCTCACTGGGCTTTTAGAAAGGAAAATTTTAGATTTGTTTCTCACTGGTTAAGCAGATTTCTTGGATTCATTCATGGAGTGTGCTGTTTTCCAACTTTATGGTCACAGGAGTCTAGGAAGCATAAATGTGAACAGAAAGCTGATTCTATGTGTGTGTATGTGTATGCATGTGACTACATGTTAGTCTTTTATATAACGTTGTGACAGCTAGGCCCAACTCATGAGCTTACTTCCCCAACGATCAGCAGGTTTGACTCTGTTTCATATTCATCCAACTCACAGGTTGGACATAGGCCAGAGATGCCAACCAGCCAGGGTAGGAGGACAAAGAGACATAAATTTGTTGTGGACTAAGCAGGTGGGGCCTGCAGTTGCTCAGGGGCCTGTGGGACTGTTTTAATTATAGTAGCTGAGTGGTAGTGTTTTTACCTATACATGTGAATACATTTTAAAATTATACCACAGAATATTTTTACGCAATGTAAAGCCAATCTAGTTGTAAAATCAACCCTGTTGCACGAGGCAGTGTCTCATTTCTCTCAAATTTGTACAAAGTCTCTATTAATACAACATTTGTCACTTTAATGATTTAAACAAAGTAATTGCAAAACCTGACTGACTATTGGAGAGCTGCATGCCCATTTCCCATGGGGACTGATTTAAAAGCCTCTATATCTGCATGTGACGTGCAAGGATACTTGTACCACATCTAATTGAAAATGCTCCTTAGTGCTGGAGAAGAGTTCAGGGGGCTGGGCGCGGTGGCTCATACCTATAATCCGAGCACTTTGAGAGGCCGAGGTGGGTGGATCACCTGAGGTCAGGAGTCAAAGACCAGCCTGGCCAACACAGTGAAACCCCATTTCTACTAAAAATACAAAAAAAATGTAGCCGGGCTTGGTGGTGGATGCCTGTAATCACAGCTACTCAGGAGGCTGAGGCAGGAGAATCACTTGAACCCAGGAGGCGGAGGTTGCAGGGAGCCGAGATTGTGCCACTGTACTCCAACCTGGCAACAGCGAGACTCCGTCTCAAAAGAGTTCAGGAATTCAGAGTAGTGTTTATTTTACTTTGGCAGATATTTAAATTTAAGGTCTCACCATACCCCTTTCCGTATTTGCCTTTGTTTTGGATCAGAACGTCAAAGGGAATTGGGAGAAGATGGTACTCACATCCCCACAGGGGCCAAGCCACAGTATTCCTGGAATTCCCCAAGAGCTAACCCTATATCCATTAAAGTTTGGGTGTGAACATTTAAGAAACTAATCTCAAATGAATTTAGTCTTAAGTGAAAAATGTGTCCTTTATAAGGGGAGGAAGAAAATCCTTTATTATTATTATTTGATCTGTGGTGTTTGCTTTTTTGTGACAGTGATGCAGCTAGTTGATGTTGGAGGCAGGATTTACAAGACAGCAGGATGGGAGCATCTTGACTCGGTGGAGATGATCTGTTAGTTATTAGAGCAGCAGCTAGCTTTATTTGGAAAGTGTAAGCTGTATTTGGGTGACAAACATTTCTAAATGAAATTAGTCATTTGCTTAAGACATAGATTTTCATTTTCTTTACCAAAAGGTAATTTCAAGTATGCTTATTTTATATGTGGGTTTTTTTGTTATTCTTTTGCTTTTTTGTTTTGTTATGCTTTTGCTATTGTACATACTGACCTGATTCTCTTGAAGTAGAGGAAAGAAGTTAATGTGGATTTGAAAATATTTTCATTTCACAAATAGTATGATATTGATGTGTATTACACCTATGTTTATTGATCATCTGATTAAAGAAAAATAATAGGAAATAACAAATGTCTCATTCAAGAATAAAAGTTTATAAATATAGAAAATTATGGAAGTATGTTACATTTACAATTTGTATTCATTTTTTTATTTCTTAATAAGATCTTGAATATTGGAGGCATGCCTCCTCCCTTTCCTTCCATCTCCACATAAGTTGGAGAGAGATCTAGGATTCAAAAACATCTGGGTCAAGCATTCGTCATTAGGAGAAGCACTGGACTAGGAGGAAGGTGGTCTAAATTTTAATTGTAGACTTGGCGCCAACTAACATTTGACCTAGGCAAGGAATTTCATTCACTTCATGAGATTTGGCTTCCTCGCATGTAAAATGATGCTAACTCCCTTGTTTTCTCAGGCCCATTCAGCTCCAAAACTCCATTCTCTTTTATTCCAAAGACCCACTGCACAGATTGACACAATTTAAAATAAACTCTAAAACTGAAATTTCCTGCGTTTCTTCATGCCAGAGATCTAATAAATACATGTGAACTTAATTAAATCCACCAGCCTGTGGAGGGAAAAAGTTCTGAAGATTCATTTATTTTTTTCAGCATGTGTTTGCTCGCCATTTAGTACATCCCCCAGCACCATGCTGGACAGTAAGAGTAGATATGAAGAAGTACTTCCTGATAGCGTTGATAGTTGAACTGGAAACACCTTGAAAATAATTACAAAGCAAAAAATGGACTAGTTACAGCAAACTATTATAAAGTATAATAATAGTTGGTATTTATTAAGCACTTCACGTTGCTGGCACCACACTCATTTAATCCTCACCCTAATCCCATAAGGTAAATGATAGTCATCACCCCAATTTTACAGAGAAAATGGAGGCACCGAGAGAGTTAAGTGATTTGTCCAAAGTTACTGTTTCACACAAGAGATTTAGAGAGGATATTTTACTTGTCTTAGACTCCCTTGGGTCCTCTCTTGGATAAGTAGGTTTAAGTACTGAGAAAAAGTAAGGGAGTAATTTGGGAGTGGGAGGATTGCTTTTGACTTGCTAAGCAGACTTGATTTTTATTAAAACGCAAAAGCAACAAATTTTTTTTCTTAATTTGGGGGTTGGCGCGTTTTAATGTCATTTATTGTAAATTCTTTTTGGAGACAGCATACATTTTAAGCAGTCTAGAAGTGAAGAGTCTTAAAGTGAGATAGCTTATTTCAGGAGAAAACAATAATCACATGATTCTGTGCTTTGAAGAAAACGATCCAGAAAGAACTAAAATTGGGTCAAGTGTTGAGCATCGCTCAGCACCGCTGGTAGTGACTGCCCAGAGTGGTGGGGACTGAGGGTGGGGGGTGTGCTGGGTGTAATAGAGGCAGGTTTTTCTTCTTTGGAGAATTCCCGAGTATAGGTTCTGTCCTTGAAACTTCAGTTGCAGAGGAGACACTCCACATTGTGATCTCTAGTGGGAGCCAGCATAATTCTTCCCTTGCCTGTCTTCCCTGGAGGGTTTCAGGGACATGGCACTGGTGGCCCTCGTGACCAGTGCTGCCAACCCTGTTTTTATACATGCTCTGGGGTGGTAAGAATGTCAGGAAAGTAAAGGGAGCTGCTCTGTGGGTACCAGCCATGCCTTCATTCATCCAGGGGCTTGCAAACTTTACGATACACAACCTGGCCCAGAAAAGAAGAAAAAGCCTTTCTTCCTCAGGCCTCTCTCTCCATACTGAGGAGTCTACTGCTGCTTGTGCAAGCAAAACTCTTTCTCCTCCCATCCTGCTGCTCTGCCTCTGAGAGGAAGAGGGAGCTGCCCAGCGGCCTCACGCAGTAACCCTCTGCTGGTGAGTTCCCAGAACCCAGCATCCTGCAAGCTGCCGCTTCTCAGATGGGGAGATGGAGCTGCTCTCCGCCCTCCTTGATTAGGATATGTCAGGGTTGTCAGGGCAACTGTTAACGGCAGCGTATCATATTTTCCCCTCTCTGCTGTGAGCTGAATATTTTACTGTGCGGTAGCAGGAAGAAGACTGGGAAAAGGTGCTGCAGCAGGAAGAAGCTGATTGAACAGGTTAGGCAGTGGTGGGAGGCACCAGACCCTGCGTGTCTTTAGTAGGGCTTTTCTGGAAAGTGTGTGTGTGTGTGTGTGTGTGTGTGTGTGTGTGTGTGTGTGTGTGCGCGCGCGCGCGCGCATGCATGCGCCCGAGCAATCACCAGCGCATGTGCCTGTCGGGGAGTCAGTGGGAGGGGGCTGGTAGGGGAGGTGGGGAAGCTGCTGCTAGGTGAGGGGAACTGCAGGGCCTCAGTTGCCAAGTGGCTGGTACTATCTGTCAGCTGTTTGCAAACTGTTTACCCATAGGGGATCTATTACAGGTGCTCAAATGAACAGGCAGCTTAGGAACTAGCAGCTTCCTGGGAGCTGCAATTACATAAGCATATATTTTTAATATAATAATAATTAAAAAAAAAAAAACAAGTAGCAGCGGTATGCCTGGATCAGCTACAGCTCTCCGACACGAGAGACTGAAGAAGACCAATGCAAGGCCAATTCCCCTTGGTTTATTCACCATTAATGAGGAAGACGAACAGCAAAAGAATGGAAATTCCAGAAGACCGAAAGGTATGCATTAGCTCCATCATTTGGTCGGAGCCGGATCCGGCCCTTGTCTCCCACACTGCCTAAAGAACGTTTTATAAATTGTGCTGCTCGTGCATGCTCCGGGGAGTGCTTGTGACCTCCTAGCACGGTTTGCTGGTAGTGTTTATACCCTCGGTAGGGCTGTGTATGCATGAAATGGAAAACAGTTTTTGTAGATTTGGTATATTTCAGATCAGTTGCCTTTTTTGACTTAAGCTACTTTCTTGGCCTAGAGATCTTTAATTTTTCCCATGCTCACTTCAACAGTGACCAGTCACTCTGTCCTCATCAAGAGGAGAAAATACTGAGTTATCAAGGTTTAAATGAACATCTCCCCACCTTCCTTAGGTGCCTCAGATAATTTTTGCTTACTTTAATGAAGTGAGTTTCTGCTTTAAAGGGATGAGTTAAAGTGACTCAAGAGTGCAACCTTTTCTAGGCAAAGGGTCAAAATGTCACTTCTCTTTCTATACTAAAATGCCTACTAAAATGCCGAGAGTAAAGAGGGGCACAGCAAACATTGAGGGCAAATGTGGAGGGTGAAGCTAGGGAGCAGGGAGCAGATCGTGAGGTTGTATAACTTCTGATGATAACTTTGTCACTGAATGCGTGTATGGCAGTTGAAACGCACAGGGTACAGAAAAGGGAAGTCTGACCCTTGTGTTGTTCTTTCACGGTGTGAAAGGTAGCAGCAGCTTGCCAGCTTCTTGAGGGCCTGTGTACTGCATCATCGTCAGCATTGTCTCACAGCTGCCCTCCCAGGGCTGTAATTATCAGCCAGAGACAGCAACATCAGGCATTTTTGAAAAAGGGGCTTTAAGGCCTTTGTTTTATGTTTTCCAGCATCCTAAGTCTTGCTTCCCCTTCCCCAAAATATATAAGCTGTTCTTAAACAGATGGGTTATGAGTTTTCTTGCTTTTATGTGCTGATTAAATTTTAGCATGCACTTAAATTATTCTGTCACTGAGATATCAAATTTTCTTCTGTGATGGCAGAGAGGTAGCGTCACAAAGTAGAAAGCAAATATTTAAGCAATGATAAAGTGAAGAGTGTTAAATGGAATCCAGTGTCTGAGGACTCCTGGTTTTCTTTTTCCTGGTTCTTGAATGAATCTTTCTTTGCTTTTCTTAAATGTAATTGAAACTGTCTACATCAGATCCAAAAGCATATTACTTCCTTTTTATGAGACTGTACGCAGGAAAGTTCTAATAAGTAGAATCTTAGTACTGTAGTTGACTTTTATTTACTATCAGACCAGGCTCCTGTCTGAGAACCAAATGACCTCAGAATTCAAATGATGCTATGACTGGAAGGTGACTTAATGTGATTCTTTTATTTGCCTGTGAATTAGATCGTTGAACCAGAGTGTGTTGCTCTGGATGAAAACTAAGGACTTTAAATTTTTAGCGGCAAATCATTTTGCCTCTGAAAAGTTGGTAACTTTTAAAATTAATGTGGATTTGTTGAATTGTTCCCATGGGGTATTTTTGGAAACATTCTTGATTTGTGGTACTTTTCCTTGCATATCTTTGGCAGTAACTTAGGATAACCATCCATTTTATTCTTAATAATTTTCTTTTCTTTTCGAGGTGGAGTCTTGCTCTGTTGCCCAGGCTGGAGTGCAGTGGCGCAATCTGAGTTCACTGCAACCTCTGCCTTCCAGGTTCAAGCAATTCTCCTGCCTCAGCCTCCCGAGTAGCTGGGATTACAGGCACCCGCCACCACGCCCAGCTAATTTGTTTTGTATTTTTAGTAGAGACGGGGTTTTGCCATTATTGGACAGGCTGGTCTCAAACTCCTGACCTTGTGATCCTCCCACCTCGGCCTCCCAAAGTGCTGGGATTACAGACGTGAGCCACCGCACCCTGTCCTCTTCTTAATAATTTTCTTGAATACCTCTTCCTGTCTCCTATTGTTGTTTTTGTTCAGTTGCCTTTTAGTATTTTTTTAAAAAGGAAGAGAAAGGGGAGGAAAGAAGATGCTTCTAAAAACCTATTTATTTTTGGCAATTTATGTAGGTTCTTGGATAAGAGAGACTTAATCAGGGAGTTTCTGACCCCCTACCATTTTTCTTTCTATCCCTGCCCACAGTGGTGGGGAGGGCAAAGGTGGGTATTGGAGGAAGACTGAGAAAAACAATCCTGTGCTGATAAGGATGTCCAAACCTTCTGTGGATCATCAATTGTCTCTGTGACACATTCAATAAAATAACCAGATAACCCTGGGTATCTCTAATTATGCTCAGTGAATAAAATTATTGGCTTTGACTGAATTTTTCATTGGGTCCATCTTAACAATAGGAATATTCACTTTGTAGTCCAGCTTTGTTCCATGGAAAATGATGGAAATGTTCTGTATATGCACTGTCTAATACAATAGCCATTAGCCACAGCTGCAGAGCTTGAAATACAGCTAGTGCAACTGAGAAACAAAATTTTAGTTAAATAGCCACATGTGACTACCTTATTGGACAACACAGTTCTAGTCTGTAGAGCTGTTACGTTCTGAATTTGTGTCTTCTCTGGTTTGTTCGTCCTTACTGCTTCCTGGTATTGGATATGGTTGGGTCCTGAAATGAATGTGGTTATTAAGAAGAACATTGCCGGGTGCGGTGGCTCAAGCCTGTAATCCCAGCACTTTGGGAGGCCGAGACGGGCGGATCACGAGGTCAGGAGATCGAGACCATCCTGGCTAACACGGTGAAACCCCGTCTCTACTAAAAAATACAAAAAATTAGCCGGGCGAGGTGGCGGGTGCCTGTAGTCCCAGCTACTCGGGAGGCTGAGGCAGGAGAATGGCGTAAACCCGGGAGGCAGAGCTTGCAGTGAGCTGAGATCCGGCCACTGCACTCCAGCCTGGGCGACAGAGAGACTCCATCTAAAAAAAAAAAAAAAAAAAAAAAAAAAAAGAAGAACATCAAGGAGCAAGGAGCAGACAGCCTCTTTACTGCATGAGAACACAGAAAACTGGATGTGTAGATAATTCCATTTTTCCTTTTCCACTTAAATGTTGTTGCACTGTTCTGATTATTATTATTATTACCAGTCACTAGTTGCCTGTATCATTTGTTGCACCTCTTAATGGACTCTTTTTTTTCCTCCTTTTTATTTTTATTTTTTCTTTAGAGACAGGGTCTTGCCCTGTTACCCAAGCTGGAGTCCAATGGCACGATCATAGCTCACTGTAGCCCCCAACTCCTGGGCTCAAGTGATCCTCCTGCCTCAACCTCCTTAATAGCTGGAATTACAGGCACATGCCACCACACCCAAGTAATTTTTTAAAAAGTTTTTTGTAGGGATGGGATCTTGCTGTGTTGCCCAGGTGATCCTGAACTCCTGTCTTCAAGTGATCCTCCCGTCTTGGCTTCCCAAAGGGCTGGGATTACAGGCGTGAGTCACTGTGCTTGGCCCTCTCTTATTTTCTAAATCAGTTATTCCCAAAGCATCATAGCAAGATGACATACAGATTATATTTTGTGTGTGACTATTATGATACACAATCAGAAACTTTTCCCACCCCATGGCCTAACCTGCCAACCATACCCAAACCTGGTATCCAAACCTGGTTTTCATGCTTAGTATCTTTTTTTTTTTACTGGTAGTAAAGAAGTTTACCATCTAAATTTGATGAGTTGAATGTTTCCGTTCAGGATTATCCTGGCTAATGATGAGTACCATCTTTTCAGGTACCATACTGTTGGGCAAACATCAAATAACTCAGTAAGAGTGAGCGTGGAGATTACCATCTGGGTTTCTGTGATGGCTTCATAGTTATCTGGTGGGGTGGCAATAGTTTGTTTAGGTGGTAGACTAGATAATTCTTGAAGAAGTGATTACTCTTCCATGTAATCAGTAGGAGTGTAATGTTTTACATACCTGACTGTTATTACCATAGTAATTAAATAGTCACTGGGAGCGAGCTGGGCTTATGCTGATGCTCTTATACCTCAGAACCTCAAGCCTCCTTGTAATGCTGACTTCAGGACTGGCTTAGGAGAGACTGTTTAGGTGCTGCAGTAACTAAATGCCCTTGGATAGGTCTCAAGGCAAACCTGCCTTATGGTGAATTTTGCTGAGCACAGTGATTATTAAGTAATAAAGCGTTTTCCTCCTAAACCAGCATTTGTTAAATGCTCACTCTGTGGCAGATTGCTCTGCTGGGGTTTTTTGGAAGTAATGCAAAGATAATTGACATGGTTTCTGCTCAGAAGTGCAGGAAGAAAAATATGTACAAATAATGCAAGAGTATAAATTGAAGTCAGGAAGGGAAGAGGATGAGAGTGGTGGAAATGTTAAGTATGTGCCAACTGTGAAGACATTGGCCTCAAGATTTTAATCTGAAACAGAGCGTTTAAGGGATATAGACTCCTCTCCCATCCCAAATGTCTGGCTGAGGTTGAAGACCTCAGACCTTAAAGGCGGGAGCAGGGAGTAATGGGCAAAGCATCTTTTAAATGTCATTATAGAAGCTAGACATCCACACAATGTTTACCTGCAGATAGACACTTCTAGAGGCTTCATGACTATTACACAATATATTTTACAACTTCTGCTTTGTAATGGTCTCCTGACTCATTCTGTGAACTGCCTAAAGCAGTCATCTGATTGACTTTATACTCCTGTCTTGTTTTTATATAAAACCTGATTGATGTGCAGCTCTAATACTAAATTTACTCATGAGACTTGACTCTAAATGACTTTTGCTTGATTTTATCAAAATTATCATCTCCCTCAAAAGACGAAAGACTCATCACTCTCTAGGTGGATCATGGTCTTCCTGCTTTCAATCTTTCCTCTTTCCAACCCATCCTCCATAGCATGCCTCTATGACATCTTTCCAATGGGAATATCTGCGTATTAGAAATAAACTTCTCAGTGAAACAGAGGTCTTGACTAGCAGTCTTTAAGCCATATTTAGTCTATAGCTATGTTTATTTGTCTCCTGCAGGTGTTTATGAGTCAACATTTAGAAACTGATTTTT